TCTTGGCTTCCGGGCCCAGCTGGGCGCAGTTCTGTCCCTGTTCAGGTGCGAATATCCGCATTTGGGCGGAGCCCGGAGTCGGCCTACTCGTACTTGAACCTCTTGGGGCGACAGCGCGAGTGGGACATTCCGGAGGGCGTGCCCCTGCCGCCACCCGAGCAACCGCCTGGGCGCCGCACTCGCCGCTGCACGCGGCCAGACTGCGGGCGAGCGGTCATGGAAGGCCGGGGAGCAGCGCCCACCCACATCCACCCAACCCACACCAACCCACCCACACCCACACCCCCACCCACCCACCCACCCACCCCCCCCCCCGCCCGCCCGCCCGCCCGCCCGCCCGCCCGCCCGCCCGCCCGACCGACCGACCGACCGACCGACCGACCGACCGACCGACCGACCGACCGACCGACCGACCGACCGACCAACCAACCAACCAACCAACCAACCAACCAACCAACCAACCAACCAACCAACCAACCAACCAACCAACCAACCACACCCACCCACACCCAACCACCAACCAACCCACCCACCCACCACCCCCACCCACCCACCCACCCACCCACCCCCACCCACCCACCCACCCACCCCCACCCACCCACCCACCCCCCACCCACCCACCCACCACCCACCACCACCCACCCACCCACCCACCCACCCACCCACCCACCACCCACCACCACCCACCACCCCCACCCCCACCCACCCACCCACCCACTAAACCCGCGCATCGGCCGGGCCAAGGTCACCAGCCCCCACCTGCTTCGATTCCTGGAGGCCGTCGAGGGGGGGGTGGCCGGGGGGGGTGACTGGGTTGTGCGCAGTGGAAGCCTAGGCAAAGGTTGGGGTGTTCCCAGTCTTGCAGGCATCCTGGCGCCAGCAGAATGCATGGATTTGGTCCGCATCGCGCGGAAGCTGATGCTTTGCTGCTGGAGACGCAGTTGCAGATCCAATTGTGCTTGGAAGAGGGTCATTTGGCTGTGGGTCAAAAATAGGTACCTAAAATGAAACCCTGGTAGATCGAAACCAGGACTAAAATCTGCGGTCCCCTGGTGGTTCAATTTTGACCCATACCCATTTCTATACTGAGAACAAGCAAGTGTTTGCAACTTCGCAAGACTTGAGTCGAGAACCCTCGCGATTGGTTCACATTCCCCGGAGCAGCTCTTTGGCGGAGCCCACCATGTGTGGAAGGTCCTGGAATGTTTGGAATGCCTTTTTTGGATGGGCTTTGCAGGGTGAAACAATGGCTAGTCCACCATAAGGAGTGCCCAATCCTAAATGCGGCCCAGGCAAAGCTCCGCTGTTTTGACTTTTTGATTGGTTTCAAAGTCCAAGTCTCTTTTCCTTGCGCCTACTTAGTGGGGCTGATTTGGGTATGTGTGAGAAAATGAATTTGGACCCCCCAGAATGGTGCTTGCTTTTGGGCTTCTTTTCACATTCAAGAAAGAGACACACCCACTTCCAGCATCTTGGCTTCTGCCGGTTCCACCAACCCCCCCCCCCCAAGGGTAGAATCCCTTGAGCCCCTTGAGCAGATCGGTCGAGGCGGGCCTGCGGATCCGCGCCGAGCTGGACATGGAGGGCCATGTGATCTTCGATGACTCGGCGGGGGGGATGGGACGGGACCTGCGGGCTGGGGCGTTTTCGTTTTCTTGCTGGTTTGATACTAGGTCCCCCAGCTATGTGCCAACTTTTACAAACTTTTTTTGCGGAGGGTTCCCCTACTAAAATGGACTACAGAAAAAAGGGTGCCCATATTCTAACCTCTCTACTGGAGGACCTAGCATACGCAGGGAACCAGCTGGAATGATCCCTATAAACCATCCAACTGGTGGTTTCTTTTAAGGGGACCTCTTGTCTTGATTCCCCACACGATCTCGGTCATTCCCTGAGCAGCAGAACGTTTTGCGTGAGTCGTTCTGAAAATTCGAGACCGCACTCTCAGGTGATTGGTTTTCTGTTGGTTTCCTTTTCCAGCAATCCAAGAAAGGTTCCCCTATTTTCAGACAGACACATATGCCTCGTTTGTCTTTGGGGGGTGAATGCTACAACCAAGACCAACCCTCCAGCACCCCCACCCCCAAGCCAGACCGCAGACCGGCTACCTCGCCCCAAGCAGCTCGCTGACTCGTTTTTGGCTTGATCTGTGTAGGTCTCGCACAGCAGGCTACAGTGGGTTCGCCTGATACCCCCCCCCCCCCCCAGCTGTTTCTGACAAAAGCGTGAACGAAGCTGCTGAGCCAGTACGCTGTTTGGTCAAAAGGACAGCTCTGACCTGCCGCATCAGGAGTCCGGAAGGATTCTGCGATGATCCACATGGTGCGATGGCTAATTCCCTTTGGTGCGAACATACCTTCTGGATCACTTCAAACAGACCAACACTTTTGTTGGGGGGCTCTGGATTCCCCCCGTCACATGGGTTTTGGAGATAGTTTGGGGAACCTGTTTTTTCAACCTGTTTGGTTGGCCCAGTTGGCCCCTCTTCTTTTTGCCCCAGAAATCAGGTTGGGGGGTCGGAAGAACGGGAGTGGGCTGCCCACCCTTTGCCAGGAGCCAGCCGGGGAGGACACGGGCAGCAAGCAGGAGCCTGCGCCCTGAAGGGTTGCTGTTTGTCCTTTTGTTGTGTTGTGGGTGCTGGGTGCTTCCCAAATTGGGAGACCCATTAACATTGGCCGGGTTTCTGTGGAGAATCTGTTGATCTACCAACCAGAAGGGTTCCCCAAGTGTAGGACAGCCCCCGATCAGTCAAAATGTGGACGTCCTCTACAACGCCCTCAACCTGGCTGAGACGACCGTCGTTGGGCTGATAGCTGCCTGGCAGTTGGTGGTGGACGGCAAACGCCTCCACGACTCTTTTGCGATGAGCCAAACCCGTCCCGGACAAATACCAGGTCCCTCGTGGAAACACTTGTCATGGATCTGCAGCCGACACTTGCCAGAGCTGATGTTGTAGATTAGCTCGAAGTCGCTGCTGGTGGACTCTGGCACAGACGAACCAGTGCTCATGGGAAGTGGGCAGCGGGCCCACGGGTCAGCCAGCAACTTTCGGGAGTCTGCTTTCATGCACGGCTCGTGCACCTTTGGGTTGACGCCTCCTCACAGTCGCTCCTTCTCAGGCCACCATTTTAGCTGCAGTTGCTTTGAGGAGCACTCGTCACTGTTTGTCGGGGGGGGGCAACCGGGGACACCCGGTGTGCACAAGGAGCTCGGCTTGCACAAACACGTCTTGGAAGTGCCAGGGGTGTTTGCTTTGCTTGTACTCATTCGCGTCTTGGCATGCCGTTCCCCACGCCAATCTGACCGCAGAGGCGTTTGAAGCAAGCAAGCGCCAATCAGGCTTGCTTGACAGTGGACATGCCTCAATGCCACCCGCTTTTTGACTTCCAAGCTGAGAGGACGCTGTCAGCTTTTGTTGGGTTATCATTCTCAAAGTGCCAGGCAGAAACCAATCAACCGGGATCCTTGAAGTACTCTTCACTGTTGTTGGCATGTTTTTGGTTTGTGTGTGTGTGTGTGTGTTCGTTTAGTTCTGTTTATGTTTTGTTCTGCAACAATACAGCTTTTTGCTACCATACCAACGGTTGGAAAGTGCTTCCATTAACAAGGATGTGAGCAGCTAAATCAATTTCAAAAGGTCCCGATCGATTTGGATGGTTTAGGTTTCTTGCTGCTGGTTTCCGGGACGTAGCTGTGGCATGTGCCCGCCGCTGTTGGGCGATTGCAATTCCATGTTCAAGAGGACCTGTTCTTTTTGGTCCTTCCATTGTGTCTTCCTCAGCCAGCAGAAGCAGCCAGTCCACTTGGAGCATGAATCTAAGGTTGCAGGCTGACCGGCAAACGGCTCAAAGGGCACAGTCGCACTTTTCATGGGCCGGAGCAGATCCGGTCAAAGGGAAATGGACGCACTCCAATTCCGGGATTGACCGGAGGCGGCCCATTGTTTCTCACAGCCCCCCCAACCATTTTACGCACAGGTCCAAAAAGAGCTGGTCGGTTCCAAAAGGGAAGGCCTAGGGTTTGATTCCGCATTCTCTTCACCCATCGTTCTCTTTAGACACCACCTATTTTCCAGGGCTGTGGCCCCGTTTTTGGAAGAGAAGGTCCGAGCTCGAAGGGGTCCCCTCAAACCGGCCTCTGAGGCTCCGGCAGAAGCTGAACCAGTGGGCCGCTGGCTCGGGACGGATGGAAGTCCCTACTTGGTGAGGCATGTTCCTTAGCCTTTTAGCTTTTTCGTGTTTAGTGGTTTCCATTCAACCCACTTAAAAGAGAAACCCATGTTCCCACTTTTTGGCGCTTCTGATCACCTTTTGGGCCAAGGCAACACCATTCTCTTTCTGGTGGGACATGTTCTCAAGGGGGAAGTGGGCAAGCCTGGAATGGAAGCAATGCGTGGCCAGATGGAGATGTCCAAGAATTCAGGAAGTCTCATATCGGTTGGACGAATGAATGTTGTCCGTGGCTCAAATGACACCTGGTGTCATTGATGCAAAACTCTGCGGCTCCACCCATGATGAAATGTTGTTCAAAGATGATCCTTAGTTCCAGCCTCATTGCCGGGATCCTCATCATGTTGCATCTCCAACCTATCAGGCTGTTAATACTGGATGGACGACATCCTCTCAGGCACCACCTAAAGAAACCGAAAAACATATTCTTCCCCTGTAAATACCAACAAGCCATGGTTTGTCAGGGTTTCGTAGGTGGGGCGAAGTGGATTTTGTCCACAGTAGTTAATAGTGATTCAAATGAACCAGGGGACGCGTGGAATAGTTTCCCAGCAAAGCTGCGTCCCGCGCACGACTTCCGACCGTTCACCATTTAAACCTAAAGTTCGGCGAGGAAAGCGCGAACCTGAGAGCATCACATGGAAAATGCTTGGGAAAGAGGTAGACATGGTTGCTCAAAATGGTGGACCTGGTAGTTCAAGGCAAGCCAAAAAGGACACCGAGTGTTTTAGGGGACCACTATATTTGGAAAACACCCACATGACATCCATCATGAGAGCGGCGTTTGCTTGGTGCCTTCAACCCAAAAACAGAAGTTTCATCAAATCGTGAAATTGTGTAGGCATGCAAAAGAGGAAACGGACCAATTTGCGCCCCTTGCGAAGGGCCTTCCTCTTTTGGAGGCGAGGACCGTTAGCAGCTCAGGATAGGACGCTGGAGGCCAAGACCCCGCGGGAGCCCGGGGCCCGGCAGTTTGGGGCAGGCGCCATGTGTTTCTTGGAAGGGGAGCTGTCCGGAACCAGTAAGGGAAGCTCACTTTTGGGGGTTTGGAGCAAATTATGGTGGCAAACAAAAGGGCTGGACTTGGTTTGGCACACACCACTCGATCGGAGGTGAGGTTTGCAGCCAAGAAGTGCCATGTTTTTGCTGCAAGTCGCTGCAAGAGACCCGCCTCCAGTTGGAGTTTCAAGGGTTCTGATTGTAAAAGAAGTAACGCCAGGCTGGAAATTCCGAGCCAGCAACTGGAGGACGTAGACCAGACAAGTCATTCCTCTCAGTGGGTTGGCAAAAAACGCATCAGAACCCAAGAGTTTTGATGATGCCAACGTTTTGTTTCGGTTTCTACCAATCCAGCGGTGGAGGGCCCATCTCTCCCTCTCCCTCTCCCCCTCTCTCCCTCTCCCTCTCTGCGAGCAGGGGATATTTGCAGCCTCAGGATGAAGAAGCAGGGGACGGACGGGTGCGCAAACAACCGGAGGTAGTTTCTGAGTGACACTTGAATAAAGATTTGGTTGTTTGCTAGAAACAGCCAAATTAGCATCTCCTTTCAAAGGCAACCAGCAGCAGCCAATATGTACGATTTTCCAAATTGCACCCAGTTTTCCCGGCCTTTCTAGCTCGCTGACTACTCTTCCTGAAAAAAACATCGTGGGTGCTGGCGACCCACTTTAGGCCTCCCACACGACCGGCCGAGCAGCGAGCCGCGCGAGCCACGCGAGCCACGCGCCCCGAGTTACAAGCTCAGCGGGATGCCGATGCACTTCAACTTCCTAGATGCCGATGAGATCGCCGAGAGCGCGGCCCTCAACCGACTTTGGTCGTCGGGAAGTGGGGCTCAAGTGATGGGTTCTTGAGGGGTGACCGCCCTTCAGAAATTCACCCAAGTGTTGTGTGGACTGAGCTGATTTCCCCCACGCCAGCTGTGCTTCCAACCCCCACTGATGCTTTTTGTCGCACCTAGAAAGGCCATTTGTTTGTATCGTATTATACTGTATTGTATTGTCTTGCATTGTATTGTCTTGCATTGTATTGTATTGTATTGTAGTGTTTTTTTTCTCCTATTTTTTCCTTCTGTATTGTATTGTGTTGTGTTGTTTGTTTTTGTTCAGGTTTGTTTGTTTGCTTTGCTTCGACTATGAGGGGGCTCTGAGGTCACCTGTCGAGCTAGCAGCCTTTGTGCCTCGAAGTGTTGGGCTGGCTGCGAACCGCCTGGAAGATATAGATATAATATATGTAGATATACATTCGTATTTATATGGCCGTGGGTCAACACCGTTTTGGTCAACACCACCCATTTTGGTTTATTTCAGTGGGGATTGGCATGTTCACTGGGGGTACGGGGTTTTGACCCATAGCCATATATACATGTATGTATGTATGTATGTATGTATGTATGTATGTATGTATGTATGTATGTATGTATGTATGTATGTATGTATGTATGTATGTATGTATGTATGTATGTATGTATGTATGTGTATGTATGTATGTATGTATGTATGTATGTATGTATGTATGTATGTATGTATGTATGTATGTATGTATGTATGTATGTATGTATGTATGTATGTATGTATGTATGTATGTATGTATGTATGTATGTATGTATGTATGTATGTATGTATGTATGTATGTATGTATGTATGTATGTATGTATGTATGTATGTATGTATGTATGTATGTATGTATGTATGTATGTAATGTAATGTATGTATGTATGTATGTATGTATGTATGTATGTATGTATGTATGTATGTATGTATGTAATGTATGTATGTATGTATGTATGTATGTATGTATGTATGTATGTATGTATGTATGTATGTATGTATGTATGTATGTATGTATGTATGTATGTATGTATGTATGTATGTATGTATGTATGTATGTATGTATGTATGTATGTATGTATGTATGTATGTATGTATGTATGTATGTATGTATGTATGTATGTATGTATGTATGTATGTATGTATGTATGTATGTATGTATGTATGTATGTATGTATGTATGTATGTATGTATGTATGTATGTATGTATGTATGTATGTATGTATGTATGTATGTATGTATGTATGTATGTATGTATGATGTATGTATGTATGTATGTATGTATGTATGTATGTATGTATGTATGTATGTATGTATGTATGTATGTATGTATGTATGTATGTATGTATGTATGTATGTATGTATGTATGTATGTATGTATGTATGTATGTGTATGTATGTATGTATGTATGTATGTATGTATGTATGTATGTATGTATGTATGTATGTATGTATGTATGTATGTATGTATGTATGTATGTATGTATGTAATGTATGTATGTATGTATGTATGTATGTATGTATGTATGTATGTATGTATGTATGTATGTATGTATGTATGTATGTATGTATGTATGTATGTATGTATGTATGTATGTAATGTATGTATGTATGTATGTATGTATGTATGTATGTATGTATGTATGTATGTATGTAATGTATGTATGTATGTATGTATGTATGTATGTATGTATGTATGTATGTATGTATGTATGTATGTATGTATGTATGTATGTATGTATGTATGTATGTAATGTATGTATGTATGTATGTATGTATGTATGTATGTATGTATGTATGTATGTATGTATGTATGTATGTAATGTATGTATGTATGTATGTATGTAATGTATGTATGTATGTATGTATGTATGTATGTATGTATGTATGTATGTATGTATGTATGTATGTATGTATGTATGTATGTATGTATGTATGTATGTATGTATGTATGTATGTATGTATGTATGTATGTATGTATGTATGTATGTATGTATGTATGTATGTATGTATGTATGTATGTATGTATGTATGTATGTATGTATGTATGTATGTATGTATGTATGTATGTATGTATGTATGTATGTATGTATGTATGTATGTATGTATGTATGTATGTATGTATGTATGTATGTATGTATGTATGTATGTATGTATGTATGTAATGTATGTATGTATGTATGTATGTATGTATGTATGTATGTATGTATGTATGTATGTATGTATGTATGTATGTAATGTATGTATGTATGTATGTATGTATGTATGTATGTAATGTAATGTAATGTATGTATGTAATGTATGTATGTAATGTAATGTAATGTAATGTAATGTAATGTAATGTAATGTAATGTAATGTAATGTAATGTAATGTATGTAATGTATGTATGTATGTAATGTAATGTAATGTAATGTAATGTAATGTAATGTATGTATGTATGTATGTATGTATGTATGTATGTATGTATGTATGTATGTATGTATGTATGTATGTATGTATGTATGTATGTATGTATGTATGTATGTATGTATGTATGTATGTATGTATGTATGTATGTATGTATGTATGTATGTATGTATGTATGTATGTATGTATGTATGTATGTATGTATGTATGTATGTATGTATGTATGTATGTATGTATGTATGTATGTATGTAATGTATGTATGTATGTATGTATGTATGTATGTATGTATGTATGTATGTATGTATGTATGTATGTATGTATGTATGTATGTATGTATGTATGTATGTATGTATGTATGTATGTATGTATGTATGTATGTATGTATGTATGTATGTATGTATGTATGTATGTATGTATGTATGTATGTATGTATGTATGTATGTATGTATGTATGTATGTATGTATGTATGTATGTATGTATGTATGTATGTATGTATGTATGTATGTATGTATGTATGTATGTATGTATGTATGTATGTATGTATGTATGTATGTATGTATGTATGTATGTATGTATGTAATGTATGTATGTATGTATGTATGTATGTATGTATGTATGTATGTATGTATGTATGTATGTATGTATGTATGTATGTATGTATGTATGTATGTATGTATGTATGTATGTATGTATGTATGTATGTATGTATGTATGTATGTATGTATGTATGTAATGTATGTATGTATGTATGTATGTATGTATGTATGTATGTATGTATGTATGTATGTATGTATGTATGTATGTATGTATGTATGTATGTATGTATGTATGTATGTATGTATGTATGTATGTATGTATGTATGTATGTATGTATGTATGTATGTATGTATGTATGTATGTATGTATGTATGTATGTATGTATGTATGTATGTATGTATGTATGTATGTATGTATGTATGTATGTAATGTATGTATGTATGTATGTATGTATGTATGTATGTATGTATGTATGTATGTATGTATGTATGTATGTATGTATGTATGTATGTATGTATGTATTCAGGTAACTCCTTGTTGGGCTTGGTTCCCTTTAGTTTCCCATACCCATGTCCCCTTGTTTCTTTGGAGCCGGTGTTCTCAAATAAGCGTTAGGTGGTGGTTCTGATTGGTGGGTTTAATTTGGATTTGAACCCCGGGTTCTTGTAGAGGGTAATTGGGAACCCCCTCCTTAACCACCGAACCACCAATCCAAATTACCAACTAGAAAGAAGCTGAACTAGATAGATAGATAGCTGGTGGGTTTCCTTTGGTTTCCATTTAAACCAGCCAAAAGGTTCCCTCCAAAAGGCCAGACCCGGTAGCCCGGATTCCCTTCTCCGGCCCAGAAGTCATGGACCTCTGCCCCTTCCTGCTGACACGCCCGGAGCCTCGGGCAGCCCTCGGGACCTTGAAATGGAACCTACACCTCATGCCCCGAGGCGGCGAAATCACGACGCGGATGAAAGGACAAGACAACCAGGGGTCACATTGCTTCGGATTTGCCCAACTCAGTTCATGGATTTTACGGGTGGTTTCCGGTGGTTTCCCATCGAAGTCCACTTGAAGGAGTGGGGAAAACCTGAGCTGTGCTGATTGAAACCGCTGTCCCGCAGCCTGGCGTCCGGAATGGATCTGATCCCATGGCAATGTGTTTTCACTCGACTGGAGGCTTTCCTTTGGGCTGGTCCATGGACAAAACAGGTTGCAACCGGTTTTAACCGTGGATTTGGTTCGTTCATGGACGCAAAGGCCTTGCTCCTTTTAGATGCAAAAGGGAAACCCTGCAGCCAGCGGTGGGAACAGAAAATGTCTGGGAGGGCTCTAAATGTATTTCTTTCGCACGGTTCAGCATCGACTCACTTTCCATTGAAAGGGGTCCATGTTCTTGGAATTTCCCTTCAAAGGGAATCTAGTATCATTATGATGGTGGGGTCTGCGCAAACAAATTGATCCAGTAGGACTGCAGCCACTTGAGCAGCGCCCAACCCCCCCTTTCATTGGCTATATTAGTTGGTGGTTCTACCTTGGTTTACTGGGGTTATGGTCATAGGTGTGCTTTTGAGGTTAGTTTGGTGAAAAATAGATGGGTTTGGGGTTTCTTCCATTTACCAGGGCCATTGTTTTTCCAAAAGGCCACCTATGGTTATGGTAAGTCCTAAACATAAGCCTTTCTAGTCAGGTTGGTAGAACCCAAAGTCAGTATACTTCCATTTGCTGAGCTTAATCTTATTGTTTTCCTTGTTGGTTTTAAAGGGAATCTATCTCTACTGGACATATGTTTTCTTTTTCCCAGGCTGAAGCAAAAAACGAAGCCGTCTCGGTCTCGGGCGCTCGGCTTCGCTTCGGATGCGCATCCGAGGCGACAAGAGCTCTCAGTTTGCCGTGGCTTGCCACCTGGTGCCGCTGCCCGGAGAGGCGAGTTGGGCGATTTTTGCCGCCGCGGCGGCCGTGGTGTGGGCGCCATCTGGTGTCAGCTTGACTTGTCTTGCTTTGTCTTGGCTTTGCTTTGCTTTGCATTGCATTGCTTTGCTGTTTGTTGTTTGTTTGTTTGTTTGTTTCTTTCTTTCTTTCTTTCTTTCTTTCTTTCTTTCTTTCTTTCTTTCTTTCTTTCTTTCTTTCTTTCACTTTCTTTCTTTCTTTCACTTTCTTTCTTTCTTTCTTTTTTTCACTTTCTTTCTTTCTTTCTTTCTTTCTTTTTTCACTTTCTTTCTTTCTTTCTTTCTTTCTTTCTTTCACTCACTTTCTTTCTTTCTTTCTTTCTTTCTTTCTTTTTTCACTTTCTTTCTTTCTTTCTTTCTTTCTTTCTTTCTTTCACTCACTTTCTTTCTTTCTTTCTTTCTTTCTTTCTTTCTTTCACTTTCTTTCTTTCTTTGTTTCTTTCTTTCTCTTTCTTTCTTTCTTTGTTTGTTTGTTTGTTTGTTTGTTTGTGTGTTGGTTAGTCGGTTGGTCGGTCGCTCGGTCGCTCGGTCGGTTGGTTGGCTGGGTTTGGTTCGGTTTGGTTTGGTCTGGTTCGGTGTGATTTTGTTTGGTTTAGTTTGCTTGCTTGCTTGCTTGCTTGCTTGCTTGCTTGCTTGTTTGTTTGTTTGTTTGTCGGCTTGTTTGTTTGTTTGTTTGTTTGTTTGTTTGTTTGTTCATTCGTTTGTTTGTTTGTTTGCTTGTTTGTTTGTTTGTTTGTTTGTTTGTTTGCTTGCTTGTTCGCTTGTTCGATTGGTTGTTTGGTGGGTTGGCAGTTATGAAACGGTGGTAGTTGTCGTTGTCATCGTCGTCGTCGTCATTGATGTTGCTGCTTTTGTTGACGGGTGCTGTCACATGTATGACAGGCTATCAAAGAGACCTTTGCTTGTTGTCGATCCTTCCTTTTTGTTGGCGCACCTTTCGTTTCGTTCACAACGGATCACCAGCTTGACGACCTCACCCAGGTGTTAATTGCTGCAACTTGGCCCATGTCCATTGCCCTATCTCTATACATGGTGAAGGCTATTAACATGGGCATGTCTCAAATCTGTGGACCTTCCAGATGGATTGGGTTTCTATTTACAAACACAACCCAATGCGTTTTTCTTTTTTTTTTTCTCCCCTTTTCTTTCAAGGACGACACAAAACAACAGTGGTTGTATGTCGGTGTCCTTTGGAGACTTCCCTTTGCCCCAAAATCAGCTGGGGCCTGGACTCCCCAGCTTGAAGCGGCAGGTGGTATCCATCTACCTCTACGTCTGCGAGCTGCACGCGCTGGGCCAGATGCAGCTCAAAGAGGTGAGCGGAGTTGGTCGTTGATCGCTGCCCGGCTGAAGCTCGCCCCGTTTTTTTGTTGTTTTTCTTTTTCTCCCCAACAGCTGAAAGCTTCGGGGTCTCAGCCCAGATAGGCTCTGGGGTGGTCCGGAGCGGCCCTGAGGTAAGGTGTCACGAGGGTTCCACCAGGGTTCCACCAGGATTCCACGAGGTTTTGCGAGGGCTGCGGGGTGGTGCGAGCACTAAAAAGAGTACGGCATGCTGTTGGGGATATCACCTGAGCATTTTTTTGAACATGTATATATACATATATATATATATATATGTATATATAACGTCCACTCCGTGGTTGGTTGGGCTTGGGGTGGGCATGCCTTGAGAATCTTCAACTGACTTGCCAAGAACCTGCTCGTGTCCAATGTTGGGAGACATGTGGTGGAAGTCACTTATTCAACCAATGACGCGGCAGGCGGCAAGACGATTGGCTGCTTTGAGTAGGGGAAGCAGCCTTTGGGGTGTTTTCCAAATTGGGACTCCAACGTTTTGACCCTTATTCGCTTGGGGCGTTGGGGCGAACATGTGCATTTCCCCCTGAGTACCTTCTAAAACAAGGTTTGGCGCCAGCCGGGTCCTTTCTAAGGTAGGACCCCCAAAACTGGTTTCTATTCCCTGTTTGCCCTTTAAACTCATTCACGACGATCTGTGTTAAGTACATTTTCACATGGCTGTGTGTGTGTGTGTGTCACTCAGGGCTGCTCCAAATGGTCGCTTCCCATGTGGAAGAGGTTTTGAGACAAGCCTCCTTGAACTCTCCGCCGAATGTCAGCAGTTTTGGATTCTGGCGCAGCGTCCTGGTGATGACAGACATAAAAGCTGAATATTTTCCGAGCATTTGCCATGGCGATCGAAATGGATCGATAGGCCTGAAGGACACATCATCACTTGAGTTGGGCTTGGCGAGAACGCACGGCAACTTTGTGGGCACGACTTTGCGCCGTGTGTCATGCGCAGCTGGTGCGGGTGTTTTTGTTTTTTGTGAATGTGCATGCCCACTTGCTTAATTCGATCGAATGAGTTGGCGTGTTTGCATGGGTCCTGGTGATGACAGACATAAAAGCTGAATATTTTCCGAGCATTTGCCATGGCGATCGAAATGGATCGATAGGCCTGAAGGACACATCATCACTTGAGTTGGGCTTGGCGAGAACGCACGGCAACTTTGTGGGCACGACTTTGCGCCGTGTGTCATGCGCAGCTGGTGCGGGTGTTTTTGTTTTTTGTGAATGTGCATGCCCACTTGCTTATTCGATCGAATGAGTTGGCGTGTTTGCATGGGTCCTGGTGATGACAGACATAAAAGCTGAATATTTTCCGAGCATTTGCCATGGCGATCGAAATGGATCGATAGGCCTGAAGGACACATCATCACTTGAGTTGGGCTTGGCGAGAACGCACGGCAACTTTGTGGGCACGACTTTGCGCCGTGTGTCATGCGCAGCTGGTGCGGGTGTTTTTGTTTTTTGTGAATGTGCATGCCCACTTGCTTAATTCGATCGAATGAGTTGGCGTGTTTGCATGGGTCCTGGTGATGACAGACATAAAAGCTGAATATTTTCCGAGCATTTGCCATGGCGATCGAAATGGATCGATAGGCCTGAAGGACACATCATCACTTGAGTTGGGCTTGGCGAGAACGCATGGCAACTTTGTGGGCTTGGGCACGACTTTGCGCCGTGTGTCATGCGCAGCTGGTGCGGGTGTTTTTGTTTTTTGTGAATGTGCATGCCCACTTGCTTAATTCGATCGAATGAGTTGGCGTGTTTGCATGGGTCCTGGTGATGACAGACATAAAAGCTGAATATTTTCCGAGCATTTGCCATGGCGATCGAAATGGATCGATAGGCCTGAAGGACACATCATCACTTGAGTTGGGCTTGGCGAGAACGCATGGCAACTTTGTGGGCTTGCTTGCTAGCACGACTTTGCGCCGTGTGTCATGCGCAGCTGGTGCGGGTGTTTTTGTTTTTTTGTGAAATGTGCATGCCCACTTGCTTAATTCGATCGAATGAGTTGGCGTGTTTGCATGGGTCCTGGTGATGACAGACATAAAAGCTGAATATTTTCCGAGCATTTGCCATGGCGATCGAAATGGATCGATAGGCCTGAAGGACACATCATCGAGAACGCATGGCAAGTTGGGCTTGGCGAGAACGCACGGCAACTTTGTGGGCTTGCTTGCTAGCACGACTTTGCGCCGTGTGTCATGCGCAGCTGGTGCGGGTGTTTTTGTTTTTTGTGAATGTGCATGCCCACTTGCTTAATTCGATCGAATGAGTTGGCGTGTTTGCATGGGTCCTGGTGATGACAGACATAAAAGCTGAATATTTTCCGAGCATTTGCCATGGCGATCGAAATGGATCGATAGGCCTGAAGGACACATCATCACTTGAGTTGGGCTTGGCGAGAACGCATGGCAACTTTGTGGGCTTGCTTGCTAGCACGACTTTGCGCCGTGTGTCATGCGCAGCTGGTGCGGGTGTTTTTGTTTTTTTGTGAAATGTGCATGCCCACTTGCTTAATTCGATCGAATGAGTTGGCGTGTTTGCATGGGTCCTGGTGATGACAGACATAAAAGCTGAATATTTTCCGAGCATTTGCCATGGCGATCGAAATGGATCGATAGGCCTGAAGGACACATCATCGAGAACGCATGGCAACTTGGGCTTGCTTGCTAGCACGACTTTGCGCCGTGTGTCATGCGCAGCTGGTGCGTTTTTTTTTTTTGTGCATGTGTATGCCCGCTTGCTTGCTTGCTTGAATGAGTTGGCTTGTTTGCACGGGTCCTTGTGATGACAGACATAAAAGCTGAATATTTTCCGAGCATTCACGATGGTGATCGAACTGGATTGATAGATCACTTGAGTTCCGCGCAGTCATTGCTACAAGCAGAACTTGGAGGTTGGCCGAATAGCGTGATGCAACTTTATGCTGTGTGCGTGTGATGCCTCGATAGCGCAGAGTTGTTTTTTGCAAATGTTCATGCTGTATGGCAGTTTCCTTGCCATGAATGAATGAAATGGTGTGAGTTGCATGGGTCCAGCTAATGACAGAGATGAAGGAAGAGCATGCTCGAGCACTTGCTATGATAGTTAGCGCACATCCAGAAGATTGGTGGCATTGGTCTCCAGTGATATTTTGTACTGGTTTGTGCCGGGCAGTTTGCCGTATGAGTTTGATGCAACATTAAGTATTTGTGTGCAGGTACGGGCGACACGGTGCTAGAGCGCATTTGTTGGCTGATCGACAATCCACAACCCAAGGTCTCTTTCGTGTTGTACATACAAAGGCATTTGATTGTCGTCTTTTAATTGGACTTTTATTGGACACGTTTCTTACGTCGGGGCATGAATCTCAGACGCTTGGCAATTGCCGGACTTGTTTGCCTTTCTTCTCATCGTCTGAACAGACATGCCGGGAGCTAAACTCTGGTCCAGAAACAAGTCTTCTTTGACATGGGTCTGGGAGAAGAATGGCGGCACCGTCGATCATATCCCCCGATGGCTGAAGTTTTGGGATGGCGTCAGGAGATCGAGCTGTTGGAGGCGCCGAAGCAGGACCAAGGCTGGGGAGGTTGCCGCTGGGGGTTGTGACCTGGCCCCCTGAAATCTGAAACATCATCAAAGCTGTTATTCGAGAAATGGTAATGATGATAATGAGGAACAAACAATACCAGTTGTGCTTGACACGATGAATCTAAAATTTTCAGGCTGGCCAAAAAGGACGCAGGCCAGGTGCGCCGTTGGGAACCTGAAGCCGGACAAGTGGGGCCCAGCTTCCAGAGGTTGAGATGGCGCATGCTCGGAGCAGTTCGGCGGCAAGCAACACGTCCCATCGGCTTTTTGTGGGCGAGCCCGGTGAAGAGGTACCTTTCTGAGTTTGGAGGGGAGGAAGTTGAGGGAACAGGTATTGAGAGATGTGAAGCCGGAAAGCCTGGGGAGCTCATCTTGTCACATTTGAGACCGCTGAGGTAGCGATCGTGTTTTTGACATCATTTTTTTCGGCCACAGCTAGAGGTAGAAGACTGACTGTTAATCTGGATCACTGGTGATTTTCAGAGCGCAGCTCCGGTGTGCCAAGTGAGCCGGAGCAAACGATTCCCAGAACAATCATGTCCCGGTGTATCATTGTGATGGTGCATGTTGCCTAGCTGGGCCTAGCTGCTCCGTTTGGGTGTAATCTGTTCAAGACAGGCTTGTCCTGCTGCAGACCGGGCCCCCTTGGGCCTTTGGCTTTTAACCGTTTCGTGGATGAGAGCGGCCCGAAGGGGTCGGCTCGAGCCGGCCCCGCGAGATGGGCTTCAGGTTAGCGAAGCAGCGCGGGCAGGGCCGAGATGGTTGCGGCACTTTCGAGATTCTGGAGACTGGGGGGGGGGTGGATGGATGTTACTGGAAAACTTTTTGCCATCTAATGGGTTTTCCGTATTAAACCACTAGAAGTTAAACTTTTAGCAGGGGAGCAGAAAGCAACCGAGTATATATCTCCTGATCCCCATGTCGAAGCAGTCAATGGACATAGGTTCTCAGCACTGAGAGCCTGGCTGCGCGCGAGGCGCCACGGTGGCACAGTTGATGAAGCAGATCGGCAGACCAAAGCCTGAAGAAAAGAAGGTGGGATCCGCCGGGATGTCGCCCATGGCAAACATAGACTGCCACTCAGGCCTAGTGCCCGCGCTTGCACCAAGAAGACCTAGTGCCCTAATTGCACATGTTGAGTGTTTGCTCAGCTAGATGGTGGAAACCCCAACCGTGCAAACAATACCTTTGGATATGGGGCACGGACTTCATGCACCACAGCGCTTCTATTGCATCGGTGTTTGGCTTTGTCAGGACGAGCTCGGATCCTGCTTGATGGGAGTTGGCAAGGATGGTCATCATCCCCTGAAGAAAGAGAGTTAAACAACCCATGTAAGAAGGGAACAAACGACATTTCTCATTTTGGGAACCTTGATTTTGGCACCAGCACGATTTTGGAGGAGCAATGCTTAGGGCGGCTGTTGCTAACATTGAGGAAATGGAGGGAAGTCACGCACCCATCATTCGCAGCTTGTGGAATCGATGGACAAGATCAATGGCTGTTCTGTGTTTTCCACCGATTCTTCTACAGGCTTCGTTAAAGCATGCACAAATAGAAACGTGAACATGATTCCAGTGCCATGCACTTCAAGAGTCCATCTGGCTTTCCGTTGCCATCTTTGTCCAGGTGGGACCAGTTTTAGCAACGCATGTTTGTTTTGGGGGGCTGAAACACTTTCCGTGCCATGTGTTTCAACTGGTCGCACCCCCAGTAGGTCTTATTAGTTGCTCAGGCACCCGTCATTGCAGCAAATCAGGCATGCCACGCCCGAAATGAGGCCTTTCAACTTTGAATGTGCTGTTTTTGTGTTGCCTTTCCTTTCCCGACCATCGGAAGGAGCGTTCATTTACAGTTTTAGGACCCCCGCCACCAGAAATTCCGCTGCAAGATGCTTTCCCTATGCACAGCAAGGTCTTGGATGTTGATGGAATGGTTTGGACGCCCCATCTTGTTTTTTGTTTTTTTTTCTTATTGTGGTTTTGTGGTTGAAATCCAACCACTTAACTGCTAAAACTGAAATTGTTGCTCCCCTTCCAACGTCAATCAATCCAGTTGCGTGACAGGCGCAATGGGAGGAAAGCGGAGATGTGTCAGTTTCAGGCGGCTATGTCTGGAAGTGTTCCTAGCTGCGATTTGGGGGTTCTCAAATTGGTGGGGACCTTGTGGGGGTGGCGTTAAGGAGAAACCAAAAGGACACAGCCCGTCGGTTTTTTTTTTTTTTTGGAGGGGTATTTTCTTGAGGATCTTTTTTTTTTTTTGGGGGGGGGGATGTTTTTCGCTTTTGGCTTCTTGGCTTCTTGGCTTGGCTTCTTGGCTTGGCATCTTGGCTTTTTGGTTTCTCGGCTGGCTTTTCGGCTTCTTGTTGGTTTATGCGGCTTTTGGTGGCTTTGGCTTTTCGTATCAACTGCTTTCCCAGTTCCTCTCCGGCGGCTTTTGGCCCTATTTGAATCATTACTTCTTCGAACATCATGGGGCGGGCTGCCGCCCCCCCCCCAACCCCCCCGTTACTTTTTAGATTCTTTGCATTGATTGAATTGCACCCCTATTTAGAAGCATCCACTTCCATCAGATGGGCAAACCTTTGTCCATCGTCAACGGCGAGTCATTTTCAGGGCAACGCCTTGGCGACGATGATGATCAAGGCCCGTGCCTGCCGGAAAACCCACGAGCGGTTTTGTTCAGTTTTGGGGGGGTGCTCAGTGGAGTTTTTCCTGGGAGAAAGGGGGAAACTCAGAGTTGGGAAGCTCCAGGAGAAAGAAGGTGCGCTTCCAGAAAGAGAGAAGGATCTTTTTCCGGAGAAAGATGTTGAGCAGCATGTGGGGAAAGTTTGGGAACTCCCCGCCCTTGTGCAACCGACGCCATTGATCTGGGAAGGCTTCCACAAAATATATCCAGCTATTTGTACGTCTGGGTGTCCTTGATTACATCACTTGGGTGCAGTCTGCTGAGGGGCTAGAGCCCGTTTTTAACCTACACACGATGCACGATTGGAGGGTGTTGTGGAAGACTACCGTCATCTGAAAAGGCAACTCTGATCATCCAGATCCATTATGCATCACAAACGATCATCCTCGACAACGATGTGGTTTAGAGAATTCATCGTCATGAGTTATATACGACGGACTTGTACCCGGGAGTTCGGCAAGTTTTGACTGGCCCCTCCAAGGGCCTGGTTTTGACCAGCTATATGGTCTGCCGATTTTATGACGCGAGCTCACCAATCGATCGGGCAAATATAACGAGCGAAAGCCAGGATACAGGTCCTTTGCTCGGGGGTCCAATACTTCATTCAGCCTTTGGACATACTTTAAAGTTTGCAGACATATGGCCATGGGTCATAACCTATGCATTTCTCCATTTTGGGGCGGATGAACACCCATGTACTACCTATTTTTGATGTTCACCAGGGGTTTCCTGGGTTTTGACCAGACATCCTTTGCTTCCGGCTTCGACTCCACGTGGTGCAGCCTCGTGGATTCGGGGACTCGAACAGAAAGACAAAAGACATGGGCACCACACAGGCAAGACCATCTAGAGGGACCTCAAAAAGCGGAAGAGCACACACACAGGAGTCTCACACACCCACTGAACGAAGGGAATCGAATCTGCAGGTCTGATATCTGTTTTGTTCTCCTTTTGCCGGAGCCATGCCGTTGAACTTTGGCGCCAAGATGGAGGACGACATCAAGGCCTGGGTTGGTTCGCGGGGTGTGGATACGGCGAGGTTCGATCGTATAGAGCCCTAAAGATGGACACATAGATCTTCATACCTGTCCGTGGAGCTTCGCACCGTCGCCGGGGTTCATAGCCAGCGATGATTCTTGGGGAATTCGAACCCCTTCCGCTCTCAATGCCGACCTGAATTTGCTTCCCATGCCATGGATCAAGCCACTCGCATCCTCAGATTTTCAGCCGGTCATCTGGGTAAACAAAAATCCGACGTGGAGGTTGGAAGCCATGCGCTCGGGCTGTGCCGCGAGCCTGAGATGAAACGCTGAAAGACCCGGGTGTTTTTGTCAGCCGCCGACGGGAACCCATTTCAGAGGTGCAGTTTGCCAGGGGATGTTAGGACTTTAACTTTTGCCACACGAATGGGCTTTCCGTATTAAACCACTAAAAGTGAAACTTTTAGCAGGGGAGCATTACCAAAAGGCATGCAGCAAAGACCAGTCCTTGCAATGTTGCTGGCGAATCATCCTAAATACTCCTGAAGCCAGAATCGCCGAGCTTTCTCCTGCAACACCTCAGCCTCCTTTCCCCAGACGTCAGCCACCTTTTGACCGTGGAAGTCGAGGGAACTGGTCCGCGACTCGCAGGAGATCTTGATGGAGGAGAAGGTGCTGGACAAGCGCTGCAAGGAGACAGCCGAGTGTTCCATTTCTGTGTCTCTGCTTGGTTGGTTGGTTGGTTGGTTGGTTGGTTGGTTGGTTGGTTGGTTGGTTGGTTGGTTGGTTGGTTGGTTGGTTGGTTGGTTGGTTGGTTGGTTGGTTGGTTGGTTGGTTGGTTGGTTGGTTAATTGGTTAATTGGTTATTTGGTTAATTGGTTAATTGGTTAATTGAATTGGTTGGTTGGTTGCTTGGCCGGCTGGTTTGTTGCTTCGTTGGTTGGTGTGCCCTTCTGCGATACAGTAGCATGTGCCTGAGCTCGGGGGCAAGCTGGTCAGGGACTTCAAGTAATTCCAGGGACCTCAACCCCCGCTCAACCTCACCTCCCGCACAGACCGCTCCTTTGAAGACCGCGAGCCTTGGCCACTCTCCTTGGCAAAGATCCGCTCCGATCCAGCACTTTTGCCTGGGACCTTTTCCAACACTCGCACCTTCCGCGATTCCAACTCCGCGATTCCGCGCCTTCCCGGCACCGCTGGTCTCACGGACCTCGGAAGGGATCTCTGCCGCTTTTGTCTCAGGAGCTGGGGGAAGAGATCTCCCGGGACTTTGCCGGCAAGGCGCGTGTGGGCCTTGAACCGAGGGTATGGGTCAACATTTTCACGGGGTTTAGGCCATGTTTCCACCAGGGTTCCATTTTGGGTACCCATTTTTCACCCGCATCCATGTGGGCGGGCTTGTGGCTTGACCTCAGCTTTGGCTTTGACCGTTTCGGTTGGCTTCTGTGGCCTGCGGTTTGGCGTTTTCAGATACACATGCAGTTAGCCTGACAGCAGAGGCACATACAAACTCACTTACGCAGACAATGATCTATCCATTTTCTACTTGTCGGCCTTCGAAGAGCCGACGGTGCCCGCATCTCTGGCTTCCACTTGCCTTCCAGGATCTTCCAGGCGATTTTGTTTGTTTTGGCCGGGGGGAGTTTGTGGTCATTGGTGAATCTTGGCTCTTCAACTTTTTTGCGCCAGAACCCGGTCGTGATTGGCGTGCTGAACGGTGCCATGGTGTTCATGGCCGCAGCTCGGCTTCGAAACCGTCGGGCTGCCCCCAAAAAAGGGGCTCACACTGGAATCAGGTGGAATCAGCTGGAGCGGCGCCGAAGGTCCGGATGCTTTGCCCCTATATTGTCCTGGTAATTCTTAGTATTTTCTTGGTCTACCCCCAGTTTCAGCCCTTAGTGCTTCATCCAAACAAAGCGCTTGAGGAGAGAAAGGAACCATGGCATGCTCGGATACGCAACCAGGGCATGTGCGGCAGTGTCCACATCTTCAAATGCCCATCCCAAAATATCGTTCCAGGTCTATGGAAGGTGTTCTAGTTTTTTTTCCGCAGCTTCAGATGCGGATCTTGGGTGTCCCCCCAGCTAGAGCATTCCTGGCAGAGCAACTTTCGAGCCGCGACATCTTTTTCGGCTCATTTTGAGTGTCCCTTATTTCAGCTTTCCACCAGTTCTGAGAGTTTTTGTATTACACCCTGGGATTACACCCTTGGGAAATGAGAATGGTTAAAAATAACACGGTTTTCTCCGGACATGTGCCTAAATGGGGTCAATACCCAGTGGGTGTATTCCCAGGGTGTGATACAAAAACCCTTAGACAGTGGGAGTTGGAGCCCGGCGGTTGGGATTTGAGCCCCTCGCACAAATGGGAAACCCCGGAACACCAAAGCAGCGGGCTCCAAACAACCAATTAGGGCAAGAAGGCTCAGCCGGCCTCAGCCAGCCTCGCCGGTCTCGCGTAGAACACTTCCATTTGCTTAGAAATGATACGACTTTGACTTTCCCTTGTTGGTTTCTAACAAATCGATTCAGGCACGATGCTACTCGGACAGTATGAGACCTGGTTGGGCCATCAAAGTTAGGGTGGTTCAAATCCTTCCAAGTGCACGCCGTGGAAACGACAACAAGCCCGGCCAAAGGGACTCGATTTCACGAGCTTGATCCGAGGCACATCGCCCCCGGTGCTATGAAATGGCCGCTGTATCGAATGTGAAGCCTTCGAATGAAAGACATTCCGGGAGAGCACGTGCCACATGTTCCGCGTACGGTGATTCCTCGCAGTTATGAACAGACAGCAATTTCTGCTTGGTTGACCCCGTCAGTTCTTTCCGGTTTCAACTCTAGCTGTACCTCCCCCATTCATTCCGGGCATCCTTCTTTGGACTTTGCAAACCGCTCAGGGAACACGCATGTCTGGAATGTCCGCTCGCCGTTGGTTCTCTCCACAGCAATTCAAGGCGTCAATGGCATGGCGGCAGCCAGGGACTTGCACTCTGAAATCGTGCAAAGTATTCAAATTATTCAGATATATATATATATACATACATATATATGTATAGTGTATATACATGCTCTCTCTCTCTCTCTCTATATATATATATATACATGCATTATGTATATATGTATCTATACATGCATGATGTATGTAGCTACCACGCGGCACAAACGCCACCCCGCGCCTTGCGCGGTCCTCGGTTCGAATTCGCTTCGACGGGCCAAGGACCTGCTGCGGTGCATCAGCATCCCGGTGGAGATCGAGTCCATCGCGGCGCCTCCGCAACGGAAAGCTCGGCCGCGGTTCTTTTTTTTTTCTCCTTCTTCCTTTTTTTTTTTCATTTGTTTCTCTTTTTCGGAGCTGTGTTTAGTTTTTTTGTGTGTGTGTGTGTGTCAAATTTTTGTTGGAGGCCTTTTTTGGGAAGATTTTAAGGGGAAGCCAAAAGGAACATCTGCGAACGTTTGTGTGTGTGGTTCCTTTTGTTGAGGCCCTTTTTGAGGAAGGTGTTAAAGGGGAAGCCAAAAGGAAAACCGGTACTTGTCCGGGTGGTTTGTGTTTCTGGGAAACCAACATGTTGGGTAGGTTTTAAAGGGAACCCAACGGGAAACCCACATTTTTGCTGGTCCTCCTATTTTGCCCCACACTTACATGAGTTAGATTCCAAAATTCAGGACCCGGAGCGCGGATCTGGTCGATGTTGGGGGTACCAACAAATATTTCGAGCAGGCAGATCCGTGTTCGGCTCGGAGGTTTGAGGGTGGCTTCTTCCAACGTTTGCGGCGTTGCCGAAGGCCAAAACAAGCTCCGTGGCGCAGGCAAGGCTATGCGGCTTCGATGTTTGCCCAACACCTTTCAACAGCTTGGTGCAAAGTTCGCAGGGAATGAGGGAATGACCCTACACCATTCTTTGTGGTTTCCTTGGGAAGCTTTGGGTTCATTCCCACATTCCCGACTAGGCACCAGCAAGAACGTCAATGTCCAGCCCAGGGTGTTCCTTGAACGTGTCCTTGTAAACCTCGATTCCCCTTCTTGAAGTGGCAATGCTCTGAATGGATTCGGTAAAAAAGGAGTAGAGTAGCCCGACGACTAGGCCAACTGCATGTGGTGCCCGTGGTTTGTTGCCCTTTGCGGAAGCCCAGGGTCTGTCAGGACGCTGCTTTGCTTTGTTAATCCCACCAGCCTGAAAAAGCTCTTTAATGCACCCTTCTGTCAGGCCTCATAAAGGCTTGACCCTAGGCGCGTTTCTAGATGGGTGTGTCCCTCTTTGAGCATGGAAACCAACATGGTGGTTTTTCTCTTGGTTTCCTTTTCGATCACAAAGGGGTGCCCGGAGAACAAACAACAACAACAAAAACATATTTTCTTGGGGGCTGAGGGATAGACTCTGACTCCGCCTCGCCCCGGATCCAGGTGAGCTCCTACGGGAAGAGGTCATCCTCGGGAGATCTGAAGTTCAACAAGGACATCAGCGAGGACGTGAAGGCTGCGGGGTCCCCGCGTCTTCACCGGGAGAGGTCTGCAAGCCCCTAAGGGTGAATTGATCAATCCAGGGCCGTTCTTTCCCCGAGGGGTTTTCGTGGGAAGCCTTCTGCAAAGAAATGCTTTGGGAGGGTATCTGTTGTCTCTTTTGTGGGAGGACCTCCCTGAAGAGGGAAACGCGCAAACACACAGAGAGGTCCGATTGTTTATGTTCACCGGGGGGGGGAAATCAGCTTTGGCTCAATTGGTGGTTGGGATTGGTGGTTTTGGCATTTGACCCCTGATTCCTTTTCACCTTCACACCAAAAAGAAAGAGAGGACAGCTGAGCAACTAGTAAAGCTCATCATGCAGGGGTTGCCCTGGCCTTGTGGAACTTCTCGGGCCGCAAGAAGAGACGTCGGCCTTGGTGTGTGGGGCACCCAGGTGGAATCCGAAAAGGCTTCGAGCCTACGCGGTGTTTCCAGTTTCAGCTTTTGAGTTTTGTTTTTTCTTCCGGGAGCGGCATGCACGAACAGTCCGAGTATCGCAAGTCAATCAACCGCGATGTCGATGGCTTGTTCCTTGTTCTTGACTTGCAATGGTTCGATTTGACTGTCCCCAGCTTTCTGGGATGGAGGGCCGGCCAGTCACAACGCTCCAAAGACTTCGAAATAGCCGCTGCGGGCAGATCCTGAATTTCATGGGAAGCATAAGCCTTGTCAAGTTAGTAAGGTCCCCAGTTTTACGTTTCAGTATCGTTTTGCAAAGACGTTTAGGAGGCAGAATCCACTTGGGCCCTTTTGGATGTGCATGCATTTGCCGGTTTCGATTCTCTTTGCTTTGGTTGCCCATATTTTTGCCTGCATGTTAAGTCGCCGGTGATGCCGCTGGTTTTTCATTTCATGGCTTAGTTGCCAGGGCAGACACGTCATCTTCGTGGAGGACGCTTGCCGTAGCCGTGGCTGACCTTAAGGCCCAGGTCTTCCAGGTCCAAGTCATCCTGAGAGAAGCGTGGTTGGTGGAGAATGTTGACGCAGGATTCATAAACCCGTCCCATAATTCAGGGGGGTGTTCCCTCCAACAGTGGTCTGAATCCAACCAAAAGGAATTGGACACCCCCCCAATCAAAGTCAACCAGGAGTTTGTTAATCCGGGGTTAACATTAGGCTGAAACTTGTTTTATGATTTTGCTTCGGCCTCTTGGACATGAAATCAGAGTTGGGGTGGGTTGCGAGAACTGTAGGCCGGGGCTAGGGGCTTCCAATCTTGCAGGCCAGCTTTGTCGTAGCTTTTCCGGGTTTCCCATACCTTGGCGCGGTGTGCTTTCATTTTTGGGCGTAAACTAGCCCCCACCACGTGAAACAATACTTTTCCTCCGACTCCAGTTCGCGCATGTCCACGAGTTCCTCAAAGGGTTGATGTTTCGACTTGCCTGGGCCGCACAGGGCTGGCTTCGTTTCGATTTGCCTCAATTAGCTAATTTCAAGAGGTGTGCTCTGATATGCAACAAAAAGCCGCCCAAAATAGGTGCGGCGCATGGTGCGGCGACATGGTACGCCTGATGGTGCGAGGTGCAGCGCGGGGTGCAGGGATACGGTACGCCTTGTGGTGCAAGGCGCGGCGCGGGGGCACGGAAACGTGGTACGCCTTATGGCGCGGCGCGGCGTACCCTGTGCCCGCACCAAATTAGCGCAGAAATTCCCAAATTAGTGGCAGAATCTGCCGCTAATTCTGGAATTTCAGCCGCTAATTCGGCGTGGATACCCGCGCCGCGCGCCGTACCGCACACCGCGCAAAACACCTCATCGCACGCCGCACCCTGCCTCGCAACAACGCTCGCACCCGCACCGCGCACCGCACCGCGCGCCGCACCCAAATCTCGTACCCGTACCGAGCCGTGCTCGTACCTTGACATGTACCCCCTCGTGGGGCCTCATCAGAAACACTGCGTTTCACATCTCTTGAAACTACCTAATGCCTCAAAGCATTCGGACAATATGGGTGTGTGTGGGTCAAAGCTAAACCATCAGGGGCTGGCAGGTTTTAGTCCATGTTTCCATTTACCAGGGTTCCGTTCTGGGTACCAATGTTTTTGAGCCACGTCCATGTGGCTGTGGGTCAAAACCAATGGGATCCCGTTTTGGGGTAGGTAGGTGCACCACCCATTTTAGAGGCCATTTTAGTGGGGATTGGGATGTTCACTGGGGGTACGGGCTTTTGACCCACACCCATATTTGTTTTTTCGAGGACATTGTGGACACCGGCAAGACGCTGAAGGCGGTGTGCGCTCTCTTTGCAGAGCGTGGGGCGGCTTCTGTGACCATTTGCACCTTGCTGGACAAGAAGGCGGGGTGCCCCCCCGCGCACTCGGGGAGGGTTTGGTTTGGGTGCCAAGAGGTGGAGCCCAGATGAAAGCTCCAAAGGGATTTGCCTGGGTTCTCTGAAACGGACTCCCCACTGAACTCACGGGAACCTCCTTGAACACCGAGCTCGAGCGCGAGTATCCAGAGTGAATCCCCTCAGCGAGCAGACGAAGTCCGTCAAGCATGGTGGCGCTCCCCGATGTCAAGCAAACTGCGCGCGATTCAGAAGTTCGGAGATCGAATTCAGGTTTGAACTTGCAACCAGCGTGCCAAAGATCAATCCAACAGCCGCAAGTCCGGCGAGAAAACCACCACCACTTGGGCGCTTGTCAAGACGTCAACACCCTCCCATGGTTCTTGTCATGTTGTTCAAAAACATGGTCCCAATGGGCCGTGGCTCTTCAAGGCAGGCCAAGCCAGACTTAGTTGTATCCTTACATATTCGCCATGGTGCTCCATGTGGACGAGTCCAACACCCTTGTCTTCTAACCTGGCATCTTCCAGTCAAGAATCCTAGCTTTTCTTCAGCGAGCGCCTAAAAATGTGGGCCGTGGTTTGGCGATGCACGCATTTGCTTCCGATTAGCCACGGCCTGCGTGCGAAACGCTGATTTCGCTTCTCAGATCTACGGGTCCTGATTACTATTATTATTGTTGTTATTGTTATTATTATTGGTATTGCTGTTGTTATTGTTATTGTTATTGTTATCGTTATTATCATTGTTATTGCTATTATCAATTATCATCATTATCATTATTATTATATTATTGCTACTATTATCATTATCATTATGATTATTATTGTTATTATTATAGTTATTATTGTTATTGTTATTGTGTTTATTATGTTTATGACTATTATTATTATTACATATATTATTATTATGATTTTTATCATTGCATTCTTATTTATTTATCCATAATCTATTATTTATTATTCTTATTATCATTATTATTTTGATTATCATTATTATTAGTATGTATTTGTTATTTATTAATTATTACATATCACTTATTATTGATTTATTATTATTATTATTGTTATTACTATTATTATTATTATTATTACTTTTTACTTATTATTATTCTTTATTATTATTCTGATTTTTATTATTTGTTTTTACCCTTCTTAGGCATCAAGCATTGCAGATGACCACGCACGGTGCCAATCACTAGGGGGCAATGCCCCGAGGCCTCTCTGTGTGCAAAACGCGCATCAAGTGCGACCCAGCAGCGCGTTCGCACGGCTTTCAACCTGCTGCAATTGCGGTGCTCAGACCAGCCATCCGGAGAAAATTGAACATTCCTCACCCACCTCACCACACCCTTGGGTTTTCCAAGCCAACATGCCCGGGTGTGGATCGAAGCGACCAATGTGCTCTGATTTCGCAAAGCCTCGGGGCATGGGGCAATGGCGCAACTAACAAACATACCCCTCCATTTGCTTAAACATATTTTGTATTTTCCCTTGTTGGTTTTAAAAGGAATGCATCACTACTGGAAATATATTTTTTCCTGGGGCCTTAACCAAATGGCCATGAACAAAGCCCCGACGACCAAGATGAAAACCACCTGGCCACTGGGCCGCCACTCGCCAGGCGCGGCGCGCGGTGGAGGGATTGGACCTGCGGTACGTTGGCTTCGACTGCCGTTCGGCGAAAGTCGGGGAAGGGCGGCCGGAAAGGCTCAAAATGGGCCAGCTGACTGATGCGGCGATTTCGGGTGAAGATTTGGAGCCATAGAAAAGATTGCTGGAGGCTGGGCTTCCAGTTGCGAATCAGGTTTTGTTTGGGGTACAAAGAAAGCAAGTCTGGTTTGGAGGGATCGTTTCTGGAAGATTTCTAAATTGACAGGCCAGTTCCCTTTTGAGATACAAAGTGAAAGGGCTCTGAGCAAATTGTCCCACCCCCATTTGCAGCCCAACCAGCCCTAGGTGGCCAGATGTCAGCATTTGCATTCAGGCTGGTTGCATCCGAAACTCCTCCGAAAAGTGCATTTTTTGCCCCTCCAAATTCAGCAGCGAGGGTAGACAATTCCTTCGAAGCATTGAGCGGCTCAAGGGATATGGCCACTTCGTGGCCAAGAGTGTTTGCCTTTTAGCGAACAAGGTGGGGCTGGGCCTTATGTGTGTCTGTGCGTGTGTTTGCTGCTGAAGAAGCTCCCTTCCCCAACAGCAGAATAGCTTTTGGGGGAAGGGCCTCCGAAAAACTGGGGCAGAACTCAGGCCATTGGTCCGGAACGGTGCAGCACTTGCAGATCACTGGGCGAACAGGATGCAGTGGCAAGGCAACCACGAGAGAATGCGCTAACCATCCGCTTTTTTTTGAGCAACTGGCAATGTTCTCTATGCCTCCATTTGCTTAAGACTATTTTATTTTCCCTTGTTGGTTTTAAAAGGAATTCATCACTACTTGAAATATATTTTATTTTTGCCTGGGTCCTTAACCAAATGGAAGTATGTTGGGGAAAACACAGACTCGCCAACCTGAATTTGGTTGAGCCAACGTTTCTCACCAGCACCCACTCTCCGTCGGCCCAGGCCCAGATGCGGCTTGGCTTGGGGTGGCAGGGCCAGTTGGCTAAGGGCCCCGCTCTCGATGGTTGGTGGAGATAAATCCCCATGATGTCCGACAACGCATAAATTCAATTCTGCATGCCCAGTTGGGCATGCTTTTTGGGTGGGCACCAGTGGACTCTGTTGTGGTTCGTCAGGGTTCTGCCCATGTGGCACGCTCTACCGAGAGAGGTGTTGCTGAACAAACTCACAACAGTACACTGGCATCAGTCTTGAACAGAAAGATGGGATTGTGTCATTGCAGTTGGCGGGTCAAGTGCAGTGTTCCGGTTGATTCTTTTTCAAGCCGTCCACACATACACACACACACACACATGGCCAACATAGTTTTCGGCCTCTTTTGAGATCCACAAAGCAGTGGCATTTTGACAGGTTGGTTTCTCCAAATGGTGTGCTGAGCCGTCCGTTGATACCAGCCAGACGGCCACATGTCCTTTGATTCAGAAAGGCGTTGGCCATCTTGAATGTTGAGCCCTCAAACCTCCCAAGATTTTGATGGGGTCCGGAGGCTGATGTTGAGCAGTTGAAGATTTCTCGCTTATTGCGAGCCTTCGGCGCTGAGTTTTCCTGTTCACGGGCATTTGCCTGCCGTGCTTGATACGCATTCGAAGTGCTGCTATGTCAGGTCTGCTTGGTATTTATTCAACACACTTGGCCACATACAAGGTGAGCCCCTCAAATTTGTATGTTGAGGTGTGCCGGACGCTTGGGTCCCCGCTTGAGCGCCGATGTTTTTTGTTTGTTTTGAGTTCGCGCTGGCCGAACTCTTCCCAGTGGGTGGATTGCTGGAGACTTTTAAACACACGTTTCTGGGATTTGTTTTACTTTATCAAAGAACAAAAAACACATAATATCTTCCCTCCAACGGAATCCCTTAGATCCCCATCCCTTGAGCTTCCGATTGAGTACAGCCACAAAATCGACGCGCAGCTCATCGATTTTGCAGCACAAAACAGATGCAGCCTCTGCACATGTTTTTGCTGTCCAGTTGGCCGTCCAGCGCAAAAGGTTTCGGCGGTCCCGAAAGCAGAGGATTTGCGGCTGGCACAAAAAGTGAAACATCCAATGCGCTGCGCATGTCCTGCACACCTATATGGGTCTGACTGTTGGGAGGGCACGCCCCCTTCCCCCCAAAAAATAAGTAAATACTAGTAAGTAATTCTCCTTTTGGTTGCCTTTTAACAACACACAAAGGGGCTTACCCAAAAGAAGACAGGTCGACCCATGTTTTTCATGACATGGCCCGCACTCCAATGGTGAACGCTTGCCCCGCATCGCTGGTTCCTGGCCTGAGGAGTTCATCGTTGGTCGGGGCCTCGGGGGGTTTTGCGGGCTGGTCGTGTTGAATCGAAGCCGCGATTTTTTTTGTTTTTGCTGGTCGTGTTCAATCCAAGTCGGGGGGGGTCATGTGGTTTTGTTGATGCAACGAATTTACCAAGTCAATTGGACATGATATGAAGGTTTGTCAACAGTAGGGGTCCCCTTGAAAAGGCGGCACAAGGCGGCACCAGGTGCCAACAGGGTCCATCTTTTTGACAACACAGGGCTGTGAATGTTACTCAGGAATACCCGACCAAAAGGATTGGTGGACATGAGTCCCCACCCAGTTGATATCCAGCGGAGGGTCAGCTAGAATTCATAGCCATATGGTGGTTTGCATGATGTTGTTTCACTGAGAACCCTCGACTGATTTTTTCAAAGTCTCAGGTGCCCCTTCTGCCGCATGCTTGGTCTGACCAGGCTACGGCATCGACTATGCCGAGAGGTATCGGAATCTGCCCTATGTGGCGGCTCTGAAGCCCGCCGTTTACCAATAAAATCACCGTAGGTCCCTCAGGGGAAATTGAAAGTACCGTTGTAGCATGTATGTGACGTGGGATTCTTTTGTCTGGCTGCGACTAGTGGTGAAGCAAGCTCGTTTTGGGGCTCTTGCCTGACTAGTTTTTCGCATCCATGGCTTTTCGGCCATTGACGAAGGAACTCTTTCATGGTACGTGAAAAGCGGATTCCGCCTGTGGCAAAGGCTTCTTTCTTTAGTTCCTTTTTTCAAGCACGGCATCGGCCGCGCTGAAGCTTCCTTGCTGTGCTTGTTTCAGGCTGGTGAATGATTTGATCTCAAATCAAACCTCCGGTTTCTTTTTAGTGGAGCTCCCCATGGCGAATTCCTTCGTTGATGGAAGCGCTTCCGGCCAGAAGGCCAGCAAGGCCGGTTTGCTTGGCAATGCTGATCAAGCCGACCGCGAGCTCTTTTCTTTTGGCAGCCGTCGGCTGACTTCCAAGCCTGGCTTTGGCTCAATCTTTAAGTGGACGCTTGCGCATTGCTTAGCTGTCTCTCTCGGCTCGCAAGTTGCCAGGCAAAAGGGCGGACCGACGAGCTTGAGATGCCATCATTCGGAACTGCAAACCGCAAAGTCTTCTTGGACTTGAGGAAAGGAAAAGGAAGCCAGCCACCTACAGTCGAATTCTCTGAGAACCCTACCTTTTTGGCCAGGTTTTCTGTAGGGAGATCTGCGAAACAAACCCGATGGAGCGACCTCTGGCTGTCTTCGGGCTTCTTCTGCTGCATCCAGCTCCCCAAATTCGAGGTCGGTGCGGCGGGTTGGCTTCCTCTTTCCCATGGGCCCGAAAAAATGTCACTCCTCGACCTATTGGGACTCTGAGATTTGCGGATGACCATAGAACTTTGGTGCATTTTGCCTGGATGTTAGGACTTTAACTTTTTGCCAGCTAATGGGTTTTCCATTAAACCACTAAAGTTAAACTTGTAGCAGGGGAGCAGAAAGCAACCGAGAAACAAAACCAAGCTTGTGCCCGGGCGACTTCCTTTGGTGACTGAAGCGTCGGATTCGCGACGCAGGCCGCCAAGATGGCCAAGGAGACAGACGTAGTGGCAGCCCGGTGTCCCAACTCGGACGGGAGCTTTTTTCCCCCCTCTTGTTTTCAAATAAGGTTTTTTTTCCCCTCAAGCCACGCAAAGTTGGCCAACTGTTGCAAAGAACAGTTTTGCATTTTGTGCGCAACATTTCTTGACCTGTCGAGCGAGGTGCTTGCCATCTCGGGGATTCCGTTCTTCAGATCGGTGTTTGGATGTGCGCCAAAGGTGAGCTGCCTCCTTTCCAACTTTCATTGGCACTGTGACCTTGGAGGGACATGCCCAGGACGCGTCAGAAATCCAAGCGAATACACTCGCAACGTCTTCTGATCCCATGTGTGGCCATCTTTTGGGCATTCGAAGTTCTGTTCGCCACAGAAAAAGCATTTCTTTTAGGTCCCTCATGTGGCCATGGCTCAAAATCCCGTACCCCCAGTGAACATCCCAATCCCCACTAAAATAGGTTCTAAAATGGGTGGTGAATTCACCAACCCACAGCCATGTCTTTCTCACCGCCTTCGTGTGGCCGCCTTCGTCCCAAGCGCGCACCTGTCGCCCGCGATGTTTTTTCTCAGGTGGAGGCGATCGAGGCGCCGATCGAGGCGTCAGTGGAGACTTGGGCGAAATGGGCAGATCCTGGGACACTTCTCACCCATGAACAAATCCTTGATAGGAGGCAGGCGAGGTTGGGGGGACGCTGATGTTGGGCTAGAGTTCTTGGAGCCATGGGCAGGCAGTGTGTTCCAAAACTCGCCACATGTTGCGAGCAGTTGTTGGGGCCGTCATAGGTTGCAAGCAACGCCAGCCAGAAGCTGCTGGTTTTCTTCAACTCTGCTTTCAACATCCTACGGAAGGATTCAAAGCGGAGCTCAAGAGCACATTCCAGACTTGGCAGGGGCGCATCTGTGGTATGGTGGGGTTTGACGCGATCTGCTCTTGCGCAGTCTGCGTTGATCACTTGCAAGCGGTATCCCAAGATGTTGTCATTAAAACATATCTTAGGATGTGTAGCCGTCTTATGCATGTTCGGATTTGCCAAGTCGGCATATACACGTTTGGGCTGCACCGGATGGGCGGGGATGTGCAGTCACCCGGTAATTGGCAACTACCCCTCCAAGGTGAAATGATGGAACCTGCCACGAGAAACCGTCCCTCCTTTTTTTTGGGGGAGGAACCGCCCTTCATAAGGCTCACAGTCGAATGATTTTTGCGCCAGGCTGAGAGCACAGGCCTCGGCCGGCAGAGCGAACCGGCCTGGGCTGGCATGCGGGCGCGTTCAGTTGGTTGGGTTCAGTTTTAAGCCTCAATTGGGGGTCGGCGCACCCAAACAATGTTGGGTTCCCTTTGTTGGGGAGTTTGGGTTCCCTTTAAGCAATTGTTAAGCATCAATGTTGGGTTCCCTTTGGTCGCACCCATACGGAGCGCAGGGCTCGGTGGTTGGTTGGCGGCAGATCGTCTTGGAGTTGAGATGCCAAACGAGGGCCACGGCGGAAGTCTCGCGTGTTTTCCCACGTCATGAAGGAGGGACGGCGTAGAGTTGCGATTGCTTGAATCCCATCGTTAGCCCAGACCGACGCAACTCCTTATGTCCTCAAATAAGCCAAATGCAAGTGCCAGCTTGAATCAGCTGGGGATGATTCACCTGTCCCTGCAAAACACCCGCTTCAGCCACAAGTTCTTTGGACCTGCGCGGGCGTAGGTGCTTTCCTCACCAACCAGGGTCCAGGTTCAACGAGCTTCCTCCAAGCTGCGCCTGGTTTTTGTGTCTTTGAGAGCGGTTTTCAGGAGCTTGCGCGTTCGGAACTCGCTTCTTCCGCCTTTGGCCTGGGAAAACCCCTTAAAGCGATTAGATTTTGAGGGCTTGCAGCAATTTCTTTAAAACAAAAAAAACATGTGATTTCCCTTTGGTTCACTTTTCCAAAGTAGAGAACACCAGACCCTTGATCCTCTTTGGGGATTGAATTCACCTTGAGGTGGCCCTTCCTTTCGGCCCAAGCGCGCGGAGGTGGGGGGGTTGCCTGGTCGCTGCGCAAAGGGGTTTGAGTCGCACCTTTTTGAATTGTTGTTGGGACCGCTGCACAAGCGGCGCTCGGAGTTTTTTTTGTTTTTTTTTGGGGGGGGTGGGGGGTGGTGGGGATGGGGGGGGCAAATCACCAATGCCTGAGATCTTATCTTGAAAGCAGCTTGAGGATAGCCGTGGCTAAGTTGTGTGTCAGGCAGACGCCTTGTAAGTATCCAAATGTTGCAAGTGTTCCAACATGGCCCCGACCGATTGAGGGTTTCCCATTCGCGGCCAAGTCGGCTTTGCATCGCAAGCATCAGGATTGCGCCTCTTCATTGAATTCACAAAGGTGTGCCTCGTTTTGGCCATTGCTCTGCAAACTCTACAAACTCTGCTTTTGGCGGTGCAGATTGGTTTCCCCCCTCTCACCCCGAAGCCAGATCTTGTGTTGCTTGCCTTTACGGGCAGCTCCTGGAGCTGAAGAGATGAGCAACTTGTCACTTGGGATGTCGCAGGATTTCCAACACCGCTGGGTTTTGTATCTTCAGGTCAGATGGGCAAAGAGACTAAGTGACTAAGGGAGGACTATTGCGAGGGTTTTCACAAGGCCCAAACTGGGCCAACAGGAGTAGATGCGAAGTAGGAGCCTCGCGCGCCTCGGTGCACCAGCATTTTTTCATACAGCGGGTGCCATGCTTTTGAGACTGCAAAATCCCATGCGCCCTTGGGAGGTGAACCTATGGTCAACATTCTGGACATATTTGGACGTTCGGTTTGAGACACATCAACTTGGTCATGACTTGCCTTTCTGCAGGCGAAGGCCAGTTCCGACGCGCCGGAGGCACCTTCCTTTGCGAAGGTTTCCAGCGGCTGGGAATGGTGGGACCCGCCTGACATGGGACCAGAGGTTTTTTGGGACAAGGATCTTTTGGGACGCGTTTTTTTGGGGTCAAAAGCATGGACGCCCTTTGACCCCCCCCCCCCAAAAAAAATAAGGAAGAAGATAAAATAGGGGGTGTAGGGTGGGGAATTTTCAGGTTGAGGTGTCAGGGGCCTTCGCGGATTTCCATGGGGTTGAAACCACTAGGCCACGCAAATCCACTCGTGCTTATGCCCCCCGAGTCTTCCGAGAGGGCCAGGAGCTGAGTCGAAAGTCCAGTCATCCGCCTAACACGGCCGTGGGGCAAAAATAGGAACCCTCCCACCAGCCAACACGGAAGCGCACAGACCCCTGTAGAAAGACGACTTTTCTCTTGGTTAGTTGGCCTTTTTGCACAAACCCATGTTAGTTGGTGGGAGGGTACCAAAAACATGGAGCCCTGGGAAATGGTACCCGAGCCCGCGGTTTTCCATGGCGAGCCGCGCGCGAGCTGCGCCAGGTGATGACGGGCTTCGCGAGCTCCTTCCACAGCCGCCGGCAAGCCCAAAGGTTCTGGCAGACACGGCACTGAGGGGAGGCGAGGTCTTTCGGTCTTTCGGGCGCCGATTCTACCGAGGTTCCGCGGCGTATTTCGAAGTTCTTGACCCTGCGAAAGTGGCGATGGTTTCAATGGAAACCACTTGAAGGTAGTTTTTGGGCGCTATTCTTCAGATGATCCGAGACGTTTCCATTTACAGGGAAACCTCCAAAAGTGGAATTCGATCGTGACTCAAGGAAACCACTAAGTACTTTTGAAGGGAATCCAGTGACGACTCTTCTTGTTTTGGTTGACCCCCTATTCTTGTTTTGGTTGAGCCACGGTGAATATTCTTGGTGTCCCGGACTCCGGACTGGCATTGGATTTTGGCGAGCCCGAATGATGACTCGGTGTTTGTGCCCAAAGTCGTCCGCACTGCAATAGTGGAGAACGGTGAATATTCTAGGGGTTCATTCCAATTTCATTTGTTTCAACCATCATTCTTTTCAAAAAACCCGCTGTTTCCCCTGGGGTTCTGCTGGTTTTCCAAAAAGAAGGATCCCTGGAAAGAACAGGAAGTGTCCCCTGGAACTATTGAAGCATGGGCCGGCGGGTGCGAGCTCAATTTGGCGACCATCAACGCGAGCGAAGATGGTGCGAGCGCCCGTTTTTGCCGAACCGCCCCATTTCCACGAGCGCCTATCCCTGACCAGCCTGATGATAAGAACTGGGAGCTCTGAACTCTCGTGTCCACAAATGAGATGTAGGCCGTTTCGACTCTGGAGCACTCTCCTGCTAAGTCTTTGCGGAGTACCTTGCGGAGTGATCTCGTACTAAAGCCGCTCCTCGGCGGGAAGTGAGGAACGGCTACCCTGCACACTGCATCGCGCTAAGACTCAGCACCAGCGCGTTGCCGCCTGGTAGTTTGCTTGTCACCCAAAAGCTGAGAGCCTGCAGACAGCAAGGCAGAGACCCCATGCCAAGCCCGGACACGTATCATCCTGAGGCGAGAAGCAAAGCGGCCCAGTTGAACAAGCACTCGGCTGTTTTGGGGAAAGCCTGACTTTCTATTTGCAAAAGCCGAAAGCCCATCGTCCTACAACAGCACATCCCAACAACGCACTCCAAGGCGGAGCCTGAAGCAAACGAAAGGCAGAACAGCCAGAACTCGGCCGAGGCAAACACGCAAATCTCGTGAAGCCCAGAGACCTTGCCCTCGAACCAAGCACCAGCAAACACAGTAGCAAGCGCGGCCGTGCTACAACTGAGCTAGAGAAATGTGCCTGTGAAAATCGCGACAAACCAAACAACAGATGCAAACCGCCCAAAGCCCATCAACCACGCCACAAAGTCGAACTTTGACACCTCACTCTTGGCTCAACCAGAAGCTCTAAACTCAACAGCACAAGTCTCAGCGGGGTGGCTGTTGGGGCCTTAAACACCAGCTGGTACTTACCTCTTGGTCGCTTCGCGATCTAATCGCAGGCGGAAGGGTCTCGGACCGGATGGAGCGGCGTTTTGTTGGGCCAAGTGGCCCTCTGCGACTCCTGCTGCTGAAGTCCTTTCCACGACTTTTCCTGCTACTGCTCCTTTTTTGCGATATCCTTTCCACGACTTTCCTTTTTTTTTTGCCACTGCTGAAGTTTTCGGCCATGCTTGTACTCTAGGCACTGCCAGCACACCGCCACCAGCACCACCGCTCTATTCTTCTTCCGCTGTCCTTTCTGCTTCTTGTGATTCTCCTTCTTCTTCTGCTGCTGCCCCCCCGTTGGTCGTACGCCGACTGCATGCAGCGCTTCTTTGGCTGAGGTTTCGTGCGCATCTCCGCAGATGGCCTTGAAGCAAGCTATGTGGGCACCAAAGAGGACGGGCTCTATGGAAAGGGGTGGACTGACGGTGATACTGTGGATGGACGAAATCCGCTTCGCACCATTTTGAAACCGTGGGACACCATTGTTTGTGGTAGTTACACGGGGGAATCGCCAGTCCAGGGTTTCTTAGGTGGTGCAGGATCTTGTCCATCCACAGTATTTCCCCGGCGTGGGTGCCAACCCAGAAACAGCTCGGATATTGCCGTTGACAGCTGTGGGGTGGTTGGCACTGACTTCTGGGTTAACCTGCCTTCGTTGATCGTATTGGCGCAGTCTTTTTGGTGAGGGCGAGCGCTCATGTTTGGTTTGCTGGAACAAGGCCCGTATGTTTTTAAGCCCTGTCTCACGGTTGAACGTGACTCCCTAGTAAAGGGTTTCCACACCCTCGGCAGGGTCTTTTCGCTTGGGAAAAGGGTTGACCTGGAGAACCTTGCCTTGCGCATCTCGTCTGTGGAGTCTGAAGCACCGTCTTGACCTTTCTCCCTGGTCCAGCCTTGCTTCCTTTGATCTCTGCCATCTTTCGTTTTGCAAAACCGGCTGCAACGTGGCATCAGGCTAGCCCAATCATCCCTTGGCATTCCCTGCACATTCCTAGCAGGTTCCACAAGGGTTCCACCAGGGTTCCACCATGCGATTGTTCTAGTGGGAATAGCCAGCATTTTTTTGCTGAGATGTGCGACAGGTGATGGCATGTCAAGGGGCGTCACAAGCATAGGCACCAAGAGAATCTGGCTGCCTCAGAAACAGACCCTCCAAAATCCAAAGCTGACGAAATCATCTGAACATGTTCGCCCAGGGTTCTCAAATTCGGACGAGGTGCGTATGTCTTGTAGGCTTCCCCTCAGAGGCAATGCGAAGACAAGGCTTGCGCTCATGATGCCTCGGCTGTACGATCTCATCTATCTCCACACTATCTCCATGATTAATCTCACGCCATGAAATTCTTGAGCGCCAAGCATGAGTTCTGTACTCAAACCTGTTGCTTAACCATTGCACTGGACCCCAACATCGTCAATTTGCACCGGGGTTCCAAAAGGGTTCCACGAGGTTCTGCGAGGGCTGCGGGGTGGTGCACCAAAAAAGCGCACCGCATGCTGTTGGGGATATCACCTGAGCTCTTTTTTTTTTGTTGGGGGGGGGGGGGTCCTAGGACATTTGCCGAGGGCATGGCTTCCGCAGCGACAGGAAGAGAGCTACGAGCTGCACGGGGGGGTCATTGGCAACGGGCCCTTGGCCGCCGGGCCCGAAGGCGGGCGGGCTCCCGGACGCGCGGGCTGGACATGAGGGACTTTTTTTTCACGCGTTGGACAATGGCCATGATGGTCGAATGCACATCTGGCAGAGGCTACTCTTGATCTCTTGATTGCCTCCCTCTCTTCCTTGAAAGATTTTTGGCTAAACCAAAGAACCAGGGCCCCTCCCACATGGTTTGACAGCTTTCCCAACTTTTTCACTCTTTGTCACTCACATGGGGGAACCGGTTCCCGATTTTAGGGATCCAAGCAGCGAGCGAGGGTAAAAAAAACATGTCGACCAGCATTCTTTGGTGGCAGGTTTAGGGACCTTTCTTGCAAAAGGCGAGTTGTTCAACAAGATTGCGCATCTGTGTAGTTGCATTGACCCTTTTCACTTAGTGACGTTTTAGCTGCTGCTTGTCCAGATCTTCAGGCTAATTGGTGGTTTGGGTTGGTGGTTTGGGGATTTGAACCCCTGAGGGTAAATGGAAAACTCGAAACCGCCAATCAATCAGGGAAACCAACTAGCAGGGATACAAACAAATCCAGGGATACAGGAGGATTCCCCCTAAATGCACCTTGACGAAATTTGATGTGGGAAATGGCGCCAAGGGAATCCACCAATATCCCCGCTCCCTCCGTATCCTGCTTGTTCGTTTGTCCAAATGAAATCATACCCTTGTTCGGCGTGGTTCCCTTTTGTTTCCCATACCCGTGTCCATAACCCTTAGCCCCTGGTTCTTGAAGAGGGTAAATGGAAATCATCCCCCAACCTCCAAACCATCAATCCAACCCACCAATGCCTTGGTTGCAACAAGAAAGCGCGTTTTGGGAGGCAAGTACTTCGAGCTGGAGCTGACCCGCGCGGGCGAAGGCTTGCGCTTTCTCAAAAAAGCCGAGGGTGGCTCCCGGGGCGTACACGTGGAACCCCCCAAGAGGAATCTTCTGCTTTGGGGGGACCCAGTTTTGGGCAACTTGTCGCTGATCTGCTCTTTTTGTTTTTGTTTTACATACATCAAAGCTTTGAAGCGTTGAAGCCGTTTTGGGATGATGTCCAAAGGAGAATCGAAAGGGCACAACCATTCTGTACCTTGATATATGATTCTGCGATGTTCAAGCTTGGGTTCGGGTCCAGCACAGGCAGGTTTCCTCACCTCGTTTTTTTCCTCCTCCTCGCCTAAAACGGGGGCTGCGAATGCTGCCCTAGCTTCCAGACAGCGGAGGCCACCCTGACGGCCTCTGCGTGGGGGTCACACAGAGCAGGCCACAGGACCGAAGCCGCCCGGGTTCGATGGAGTTTTTTTTGTTTGTTCTCCCCGCATACCGGTTTGCCCATTGGGTTTCACGTCTTTTCCGGGGTTCCGCCCTGAAAGAAGAAGCCAGCAAAACATCGTTTTGCTCTGCTTTGTGGTGTGAAAGGGTGCCGCCTTCTCTTTCAACCAGCGAACTAAGCGTGGCCTGTTTTCCATAACCGCCGGGCAAGCAGATTGGAGCCACCGGGGAGTTGCGGCCCTTTGTAGATGGAGCTTGGGCGGGGTTGGAGCGTCAAACAAACACATGTGAATTTAGGTCGGATATCGTTATTGCTTTGATTGGGTCGTGGCAATCAACAGGATCATATGCAAGCTCAGGCAAGGCGGGACAGGCAGTGGTTGAGGAAAGTAGGCGTTTGTTTCCTAGTCGGAGCTTGCCTTTGGAGTCTGACTGAGTAGAACACGTGTAGAGCACAAAAGCGTGAATTCCCGGAGCAATTTCGTTGGGATCTTACTCAAGGTGGCCAAGGGGGTCAACGGGAGGTTGACCAGACGACAGGCAAATGGTGTGGACTTAGCTCAATGAACAAAATACAGTCACAACGGCTTATTGGACCGCATACAACGTAACAACCATTGGAAATCACCCTTGTCTGGAAGAGCCTCCTGGCGTTCCGTTTTCGTTATTTTTTTTCCCCCCCCCCCGACCCGACGACCCGACGACCCTTGACGCTGCGCGCTGCCAGCTTCGCTCAGGAGCTCCGGTCTCCGCCAGACACCATGGATGGGTCTGAGCTTCAGAGGGGCTCAAGTTTTGAGCTCCACTGCAGTAGTGCCCTTTCTCACCCCTTTTTTGGGGGAGGGTTCCCCTACTAAAATAGACTACAGAAAAAGAAATGGTACCCTTATTCTAACCTCTCTACTAGAGGACCTAGCAGGGGTTGATTCCGATTCCATTGTTTTCAACCATCGTCCTTTCCAAAACCGGATCCGTTCTCTTCCTGGGTTTCCGGAGGTTTTCTAGAAAGATCCGGATCCCTGGCAAGAATGGGGAAGGTAACCCTAGATTCTTGGCAAGTTTTTTGTTGTGGTTCTAGTCATGTTCAGTAGGGGGCTGCACAAAACAATCAGTTTCTTGCAATCCCGAAGTCCAAATCTGGGGGTTTTCTTGTGTACCTCCGAATATGGTGGGCGAATCACTTGAAATCCAGGGTAAAATTACCTTAGTGATAGAGATCCTTTTCGCCTGAAGCCGGCGTGCATCTTGCGCTTGTTTTTAGGCCTGCCTTGCGAGCTGAGGGTGCGTTCCACGTGGATCGCTGGCTACGACGGCCTCATGTGGGATCCCAAGGAGGCACGGAGCAGAGCCACGATGCTTCGGGCCGTTGCTTCGGCGCTGCGGGCGCATCGGGCCGATTCGCTTTTTTGCATCGGTTCATCTACCTTCCTTGGCAGGATTGCGAGAAAAAAGATGTTGGTAATTATTCGGGTCTTTGGGAGTCGGCCTGTTGAGAACAAGATGTGGTCCTTGGGGTGAAATTGATCCCATGGAAGATGCGCGCAGGGCGACATGGTCTCGACTCCGTGGAATCCCAGCAGCCTGCAGAATGGCGACGCAGCCTGGGCGCCCGGTTTCTGCCGGGGCCGGGGGTGCCTTGGGCCTCGGAGGTGCTTCACTTGGTATGGGGGGCTGAACGTCTTGGGGAAGCCCTTTTGGTATCACAGAAGTGGTCGTTTCCCACAGCCCTGGACACAAGAGAACACCAATTGGTGCTGGGAATTTGGACCTCTGGCTGTTTCAGACGAAGGTTATCTACTCAGAAGAGTCACCTGAGCCTTAGCCACTGAGATTTTGCTGAAGGCTGGCATGCAAGGGTTTTGTCATCAGGTGCTTGGTGGATGGATGTTCTTAACATTTCTTAAACCTTCCCCAGGGCAAGCTAGAAAAGCTGAGGCATTGACCAAGGCCATTTGTTTTGGTTCCAAATTGAAATGCACGCATGTGTGCCTCGAAAATAAGCGAACTGACTCCAAAGGTTGTGGTCGCGTTCGCCAAGTTGATCGCAAATAGTTGATTAACGTTGTGCTTGACACACTTATATCTCATGCTTACTTAGCAAAGAGGTTGCAGTCTTTGCCGGTACATCGCAAACCCTCCAAAACACTTGACTCATCTTGTGCATTGATGCTTGCTCTGTTTTATTTGTCATCCACTATTTTGACGTGACACAACACATGCTTCTATTCACACCCTGTCCTTTCAAACAACGTGGTTTCGGGTGACAGGACGGTTTCCAACTAACAGCTGTAGTTAGTGGGTGAAATCTGCATCCTTGTTTGACCATACCAGGATGGAATCACCTAGTGAATCATAACTAGTTGGGAAGTTTCCTTCCATGCTTGACTTGGAATCTCCATCACCTTCAGCAACTCATTTGGCACCTTGGGTTGTTGGGCTTCGGCTATCTTGGAGCACGGCCTTCCATACTCAAAGCTCCCCCCTGTTTCCTGCGGGAAAAAGCTCGACCGAACTGACGATGCGTCGTGTTGGGCGTGGAGGGCGATCTGTCGCGTTGGGTTTCTGATCCCACGGACCTCGAGGTTGGCGTCTTGGTGCGTCCAGAGGGTC